TGACAGCGAAGGCTTTCACATGCTCCTGACCCCTGCTTCAACCGTCTCACCCTGTGTGGTCAAAGCCCCTTTCCTTGGGACTCAGTGAACCTCGGCCACGTCCCAGCCCTCAGGCACAGCCACGGCTAGTCCAGTCATTTCCCGCATAGACGTTTAATCATACTCCCTGCTCAGCCCTCCTGTCATTACCCGTGCTAACCTGCCATCCTGGGGGACCACGGTGGGGTGGGTGTGCTGGTGCCCCCATCTCTGGAGGGCTGGGATGAGGGTGAAGGAGAAGGGGAGCGATGGCTTCTGCCCTCACGTTTGCCATGGGGTTTCCACATCTAGTTGGCTCCCTGATGCTTCCTCACCCAGCACTGGAGACCCCACGCGCTTGGTCAGAGCTCCCGCAGGTTCCTTGTCTGCCCAATGGTGCCCTCACGACTTCTTCCAGCTGGAGCCTCCTTGCTGTGCTGCCACCTTGGTCCAGTGCCAACCCGACTCAGGCCTAACTTCCCCTGGGGTGACTGTTTGACTAGAGGGAAACTCACCCATTCTAGCCTCATGGCAGCAGAGTGTAGACTCCCCCTTCCCTGCCCTGCATTGCCGTCTCACCCTGTCCCCTTCTGCCTTGCTCATAAAGATCCAAGCCAGTGTGCGGTCAGGAGCCCCCAGGTGAGGTGAGGAGGAGGCGAGGGCTCGGAGCTTTCTCCAGAGGCAGTGAGGGGTTACTGCAGCATTCTTCCATGACTGTAAAAAGTACGTTGTGAATTAGGGTCCTCTGATTCTGGTGAGACTGGGTAGAAAGCCGCAGAAAGGGGTGACTCTGAGGAGGGGGCTAGTCCGGGGCTGTTGGTGGCAGGGATCCAGAAGGGGGTGGAGACTCCATACCCCGAGCCCTTTTCTGAATGGTCAGATCCTCCCACTCTTCAGGTCTGTGTCTCCAACCAAGAAGGGCTGTCGTTTGACATCTAAAAATGGTCCTACCTGAGTCACCTCCTCCATAGCTGGACGCTTTGCTTCTGGTCGTGAGTGGAAGCTGTCCCTTGGTCCTCAAACCCACCCTCATCCACAGCACTTCCCTGTGTCACATCAGGGTGTGCATGCAGGGTGTGTCCCGCTCATGCAGACAGCCGCTGGCCCTGGGTCTCCAAGGACAGTCTGAGCCTCTTCTCTGGGTCACCGCACAGGTTTCTAGGCTTCCTTTGTTAACTCTCTTTGTGCTGGATTGCCTCCCTCCTGCCAGCCTCACCTTGCGCTCCCGTCTGGACTCCATCATGGCCTCCGCCCCTCCTCCAAACTGTGCTTCTCGCTCGCCTGCTGAGCCAGCACAGATGGACGGAACTACTGCTGGTGAGGGCGGCCCTTGTCCTGCCTACTCCTTACTTGCCCTTCCTCAGCTCAGGTGCCACTTCTTCCAGGAAGCCTTCATGACTTGTCTGTCCCCCCATTAGGTGGTAGGACAAAGTGTCATAGAAAATACTTACCCCCCATTTAGGGCATGACAGAATTAGACTAAGAACGAAATACCCACTCTGCGTGCGGTCAGCTTCGCCTGAGGCTCGGGCAGCTCGGGCGGGCAGCTCTCCCCGACAGCCCGTTCAGGACAGCATCATCTGATAAAACTATTACACTGCTGTGCCCATTACCTCCACAGCTCTTCGTAGTAGGGACATGGTTCTCGTTTTACAGGGGAGGAAACTATGAATTGGAAAGTAATACAAAGAACAGTCTTGTGTTCTTAGCACACACGTGTGCTGTTTTCTTTTACATGCAGTAGCTCATTTAATTAAACCCGGCAAGTCTGCGAGATAAGCATTTTTTCTACATCTCATACCTGGCAGAGTTGCAGTCTCGAGAAGTTAAGTGACTCCTCTGGTTTGCACAGCTAGTAAGTGGCACAACTGGAATTTGAACAGAGATAATGACTGCGATGCTTAGTCATTACGCTAGCTCCAGAGGGGTCCAGTACCCGTGACAGTGTGTGTCCCGGCAGGTAGCAGGTCTCCATGTGTCTTTGTTGACTGAGGAGGACTTGCTCCAAGCCACGTGGCACGTGGTCGTGGGTTGTGGAGCCAGGCCACAGGCTCCCCAGAGCTCGGTCGGGCTCCCAGGCAGCGGGGCTGAGATGGAAGCTGCCCCGGGGCTCTTCTGTCTGACCAGCAAGTGCTGTTTGCAGCCCGTCAGCTCAGCATGGCTGGGCCGAGCTCCAAGCGAGATGGGCCCGAGACAGAAAGGCACAGCCCCACGACCTGGACACCGCCAGACCATGCTTTCTGTCCCGGCCAGATTCCTGCCCAGGTGTCGCCATCACCGCAGCAACACAGAGGTGGTGCCTCCTTCCACGCACACCCCACCCTTGGTGGCAGCGGCTGGACCCGTGGAGCCAGACGGCGCTCGGCCACTGCCCCGGCTATGTGCTGAATCTCATTTTCTCTCTCTCAACTGTGCGCTGCTCATCACTTGCCCTCCCCCCTATTCTGTGTCCCTGAATAGGGAATGCTGGTTACTATGGCAATGGACTGGCTTGTGGAAGGAACTCAGCGCAGTAAATTAATTGCTGGACTTTTGGGGACTAATGGCAGAGCTCTGCCTCCCGGGGACAGGGCATGGCCTTCACCAGCTTGGCAGCCAAGCCCTGCAAACTGCTCAGGGCTCCGCCAGAGAGACAGGGATTCATGGTGCCTGGGCTCACTGGCTGCACAGAGGCTGCACAGAGGAGAGGGGAGGGGTTGCCAGAGATCTCACGAGGACAGAGCACCTACTCTGACCAGGGTCTGTGCTACAGAAGTCACCTGGTAACCCTCACAAACCCAGAAGGAGTAGAGATATCCCCTTGCGAAGGGTGGATGAACAGGGATGGAAAATGCTTATTTTTATCACTAATGATGCCATGTCAGGCCGCCCCTCTCAGTGGGAGTCTTACTGTAGGCCCTCCACCTACTCCTGGGCAGAAGGCCATTCTGCACCCTGTCCACTCTCCCTGAAGACAGAAGCAGAGGGAACCTCCCTAACTCATTCTGTGAAGCCTGCATTACCTTAGCTCTAAACCAGACAATGGCATTACAAAAAAAGAAAACCACAGACCAGTATCCCTCATGGACACTGGTGTAAAAAACCCTCAGCTGAGTATTATCTAATTAAATCCAATGATAGAATTACCTACCTTGACCCAGTGGGATTTATTCCAGGTATGAGGGGGTGGGATTGGTTTATACCACTAACAGGCTGTGGAAGGCCTTTCCCTTCCCATGGCGGCATATCTGAGTTTCTTTCCTGCCAAGTCTCCCCCTTTCTTTGCGGATGCCCTTGTCCTCTGCTTCCTGAGAACTGGGTGGCATGGTTTGGGCTTTGTTCATATTTGCTTGTTTCTCTCATGGTTTCTGTGCTTAAGAAATAAGTGTTATTCTGGCCAGATTCCAAGCATCAAAGCAAGGTTTTCAACTGATTCCGAATGTAGGCTGTGGCCGGACTGCCTGGGATTAGATCCTGGCTCGCAGGTGTGGAGTCCTGGGAAGTTATTTAAGCCTTTATTGCCTCAGTTTCTTCCTCTGTAAAGTGGGGCTGAGGGTTCCTACTGATCAAATGACTTATGTAGAAGCCCTCAGCATGGCTCCTGGTCGCATGCTAGAAGTTAGTGCTGTGAAGCTCATGGTCCTGGTGTCATTTGGACCTGACACCAAGCCTTTTATGATTCACCAAAATATTTTAAATTGTCTAGATTGTCACTGATAAAAAGTTGCAATGTTGATTTAATTCCGAAAAAAATGTTCCATAAAGACACACACACACACACACACACACACAGGCACACACACATACACACACTCCTGGGCTCACGTTTCCTGCCGTGGCTTTATGTTTGCATATCCCCTCCCAGCCCTGGCCTGAACACTGGTGGTGGCTGTGGCTCTGGCTGCCGTGGACGTGCCGGGCTCGTGGCTTTTTCATGGCGCTCTGCCGCCCTCCCATTGGCCACTGTCAATGCCTGGTTCACGCCAATGCTCTGCAGACAGGCGTAGGACACGTTTCCTCCCAGCCTCCTGGTGGGCTGCCTGCTTGCTATTTTTCTGTACTAAAATGTAGTCACTACGTTTGAAGCAGAATAACCCTATGAAGATTGCTCGCCCTTTGCCTTTGAGGAACCCCTCACCATTGCAAGTGCTGAGGTTCGAGGGTCCCTTGAAGAATTCCTAGTTTCCCTTCACTCACAGATATTTGCTAGGTGAGCACAGGGCTCTCCTCCATGCAGCGAAGTCAGATTGGCATTGGCTCAGGGTGACGTGGGTGCCAGGTGACAAGTCAAATGGTGATGGGAGCAGTAGCCCTCTGCTGGCAGAAGGGGCCTTGGGGGTGCTTGGGGCAGCTGAGGGGCAGTGCGCCCTGCAGTGGGGTTTGGGGGGTGTCTGGGAAGGGCTTTCCAGTAGAGGACTGGGCTGCGTGCTGCTGGGCTCCTGGGGTGGGCATGGGGCTCTCAGACAGGGCCACCTCCCGTGGAGACGAAGTGGTCTAGGCCGGCATCAGTGGGAACGTACCAGGAAGTTCGTGGCTACCAAGTGTGGCATGGTGAGGGTGAGCGTGCGAGGGCGGGCTGGAAGCGGGCTGCCATAGCGGGGAGGAGGGCCTCACTGGGGGGTTTAGGCAGGACTCGGCTGAGGGTCCTCAAACACCTCGTTTAGACCTCCCCTCGTCCTACTAGAGCGGGGCCTGACAGGCCTCAGTACCACTTTTCTTGTTATGATTACATTTAATCGCTGTGCGTGTTTGCAGTGTAGAACAGGGCTTTCCCCGCATGAAAACAGTGCGGATCGGCCAAGACAGAGACGCTGCTGTCTGTCATCATAGCACACGACTTTTCATTTACCCCGTCCTAACTGGATGGCGGGAGGGTGGGGGGATGCTGGGAAGGCAAGGTGACAGCTCAACCTGCATCTCAGGGCAGTTCTGTGGCTGCCCGAGAGCCCACGGCAGGACAGAGAGGTCAGGCCGTGGGCGGGGATTCCTCCTGCGGGCCAGAGGCTTCTCATGGTCCTTCTGCTGAGCGCCCGGCTAATGACATGTCTTTCCCCCACAGGAAATGCTCCAGTAGGCCCTAGCGGCGTCTCCTCCTGGCCTAGAAATGCTCGTGCCCAGGATGCAGAGAGCCGGGGCTGGCCTCCGTGGGAACAGTGCTGCTGCCAGCCTCTTCTGGGTGCTGCTGCTGTGGCGAGCGGGCGGCGGCTGCCAGGCCCAGCGGGCAGGTGGGCTCCCATGTCTGAGTGTGGGCTGTGGACGCGTGCATGGGAATGTGCTCACACACTGTGTGTGTCAGTAAACAGGCGTGTCAGCGTCCTCCAACTGATCTGTCTGTGCTCACCGGCTGCCCAGCAAGGGCGAGTTCAAGAGAGAGGGTGTGTCTGTGTGGGTGTGGGTGGGTGAGTGTGAGAGTAAGAATGTGTGAGTGCAAGAGAATGTGTGGTGAGTAGCGACGTGAGAGTGCCCACGGGTAAGGCAATGAGTATGTCTGACACGAGTGTGAGAGAGGATGTGAAAGGGTGTGGAACAGCACGGATGTGAGAGGATGAGTGCGTGTGAGGGTGAACATTTATGGAAGTCAGTGTGGCACTGTGTCGTGTGACTGTGAGTGTATGTGCAAGGGAAGGGCGTGTGTGATCTGGAGACAGGCAGGGAAGGAGCAGGAGGGAGTGAGCTGCTCGAACACACGTCTTGGCTGTTCGCGTGCTGTGTTTGCCCCTGGCTCCCAGGCGCGTGTGCAGGCCCAGGGCTGGGGAGACGTGGGGTCAGAGCCTGCCATGCTGTCCTGTTCTGTGAAGGCTTTGGGGCTATTCCAGTGAGGACGGGCACACTGGAGTCCGGCCAGCAGAGGAGCCCGGGGCAGCCAGGAGAAACGGCCTGTGGAGCAGGCCCGGGAACTGGGCTTCGTGGAGAGGGAAGGCCAGGGCAGAAGAGGAGGGGCGTGGCAGGACAGTTTCGCTCTCTCACTTGACAGTCCCTGCCGCGGAGGTGGGCACTGGCTAGTGCCGAGGCATGGAGGAAGGTCAGGAACGTGAGCCAGTTTGTCCACAATTCCTCGGCCTGACCCTGCTATGGAATGCTCAGAGCAACAGGGAAGGTGCCAGTCGGCAGATCTGCAGCACAAAATGCAGTCCCCATTTTAGACGGGAGGAGCTGGGATAAAGCGGGGCCGAGCCCTCAGCAGGTGAGGCTGGGAGAACACAGGAGGTGATGGCTAAGGCTTTATGCCGGGACCTAAAACAAGAAAAGTTTGCATATTTTCTTTATCAATTTCCTCAAGTTCTCTCACCCATCTTACTTTGCCTGAGCGTCTCAAAGTCTGGCTACCTGGAAAGGGAGCAGTCATCGGGGACCTCTGTTTTACACATGAGGGGCACAGGATTCTGTCCATCAAGCCAAGCCCAGGTGCTCAGTGGACCTGCAGAACGGTTAAATTCGAAAATGGAGAGGCTGTCAGATGGCCCCTTCCACTCCCTCACTGCGCAGAGGAGTGGAAGACGTGGGCCGTGGGAGCAGCTGACTTCCAGGGCTGCTACGACTTTGCCCATGGCAGGGCTGAGGCCAGAGGCCGGGGCGCCTGCTCTGGGTTCGCCCACCTGTCCACGTCCCTTTCAGTGTTCACATGCCCACAATCCAGTCTCTTCCCTGAACCAAATGCACTCACAGGGGCCCCTCCATGAGGCCTCCTGAACAAACGATCTGCTGCCACTTTAAAACAAATTTGCTCTAGGATTACAGCCTGCAGGGCAGGCCCTACCTGGCCCTCAGTGATTATCCTGAACAGGCCGGGAATTATGCCAAGAAAAAAAGGTGGTCTTGTATCACGGAAGAAAACGCCCCAGGAACTAGCTGTGAGTCTCCACATCTGGGCAAACACACTCCCATAGCACTGGCCCTGTTAGGGCTCGACCCTGCTGAGGCTGAGATGTAACTCAGTTCTCGCAGGCAGGCCCTGGAAAAGCAGGTGGGAAATATTCAGGGGTGGCATTGGCCCAGGCCAGAGGGAAGCGTGTGTGTGAGTGTAAACCCGTGTACCTTTGTTGTTTCATTTTGCTTTGGTTTTTGAACTTTTTGACTGCTTGCAGATATAAAAGCAGAAACTACGAGGTAATGATTCTCTCATGGCCGGCTTGCCAGGGGTACGCGGTGTCTTTCCTTGCATGAAGACACGGCACAGGCACAGGGCACAGGCTGTCCTCTTTCTAGAAAGTCTGTGTTATACCTGATGTCTTGTAAACGCCTTTTCACACACGTCATATGTAGGAAAAGTACCAGTGATGGCAGGAAAGGACTCCTACAGCCACCACTGCAAGGACCGCCCAGCAGCCACGGAATGAATGCATAGTGGTTTCATTACGCAGTTCGGTCTGGGGTCGGTGGACGTCGTTCCCAGGATGTTCGTGGCCGTGCTGCGAGAACTCCCTTATACATCTTTCGTTTCTTTCATTTATCTGATTGTTTTTTTGGGGGGTACATCACTGAATTTGGAATTAGTGGATAAAAAGACACCTTTTCTTTTAAGAGAGAGATTTTTGCTATAGGGCATGTGTACTCACCAGAGAGACAGAGAGTAAAGAGAGACAGAAAGTGAGAAATCACCCCCCGGGGGGAAGTCCATACCACAGTGACTTCTCTTTTGTTCTCCCCTAGGGATTTTGGGCCTGCAGGCACACACACCCAGTGTGAGTTTCAAGTGACCAGGTCTAGGACTCGAACTGGGGTCAACAATGTGAGAATCCATGGTTGACATCACCTGCTGGCCCCCATCCTGTGTGTTTTTCAAGCTGCTGGGTCCAGGACCTGGACCATGCAATTACCCATGTGGGATCCAGTCACCTTACCAACACAGGCCAGAGGTCAGGACTTCTTGATAGTTCGCTTGGACATTCGTACAGCACTTTGGAGTTTAGAAAACACCTTTCCTCATGTGATACACTTGTCAAGTTGATGAGTGAGCTCCCCGGCAAGGTTTCTGTGAGGATGAGAAATAAATGCTACGGGGTTGTATTTTGTTTAATCAAAACATCCTATTTTTTTGTATAAGATTCATGCAGTAGTTGGGAGCCAGCAGTTAGCGTAATGGCTATGTCGCTGGATTCCCACGTAGTCGAACGCGGTTCGTGTCCCGGACCCGGTGGCTTGAAACTCACGCCGGGCGCGTGTGCGTGCGTGCCCAAGATCCCGAGAGGAGAATGGAGGAAACGCCCCAGGAACTAGCTGTGAGTCTCCACATCTGGGCAAACACACTCCCATAGCACTGGCCCTGTTAGGGCTCGACCCTGCTGAGGCTGAGATGTAACTCAGTTCTCGCAGGCAGGCCCTGGAAAAGCAGGTGGGAAATATTCAGGGGTGGCATTGGCCCAGGCCAGAGGGAAGCGTGTGTGTGAGTGTAAACCCGTGTACCTTTGTTGTTTCATTTTGCTTTGGTTTTTGAACTTTTTGACTGCTTGCAGATATAAAAGCAGAAACTACGAGGTAATGATTCTCTCATGGCCGGCTTGCCAGGGGTACGCGGTGTCTTTCCTTGCATGAAGACACGGCACAGGCACAGGGCACAGGCTGTCCTCTTTCTAGAAAGTCTGTGTTATACCTGATGTCTTGTAAACGCCTTTTCACACACGTCATATGTAGGAAAAGTACCAGTGATGGCAGGAAAGGACTCCTACAGCCACCACTGCAAGGACCGCCCAGCAGCCACGGAATGAATGCATAGTGGTTTCATTACGCAGTTCGGTCTGGGGTCGGTGGACGTCGTTCCCAGGATGTTCGTGGCCGTGCTGCGAGAACTCCCTTATACATCTTTCGTTTCTTTCATTTATCTGATTGTTTTTTTGGGGGGTACATCACTGAATTTGGAATTAGTGGATAAAAAGACACCTTTTCTTTTAAGAGAGAGATTTTTGCTATAGGGCATGTGTACTCACCAGAGAGACAGAGAGTAAAGAGAGACAGAAAGTGAGAAATCACCCCCCGGGGGGAAGTCCATACCACAGTGACTTCTCTTTTGTTCTCCCCTAGGGATTTTGGGCCTGCAGGCACACACACCCAGTGTGAGTTTCAAGTGACCAGGTCTAGGACTCGAACTGGGGTCAACAATGTGAGAATCCATGGTTGACATCACCTGCTGGCCCCCATCCTGTGTGTTTTTCAAGCTGCTGGGTCCAGGACCTGGACCATGCAATTACCCATGTGGGATCCAGTCACCTTACCAACACAGGCCAGAGGTCAGGACTTCTTGATAGTTCGCTTGGACATTCGTACAGCACTTTGGAGTTTAGAAAACACCTTTCCTCATGTGATACACTTGTCAAGTTGATGAGTGAGCTCCCCGGCAAGGTTTCTGTGAGGATGAGAAATAAATGCTACGGGGTTGTATTTTGTTTAATCAAAACATCCTATTTTTTTGTATAAGATTCATGCAGTAGTTGGGAGCCAGCAGTTAGCGTAATGGCTATGTCGCTGGATTCCCACGTAGTCGAACGCGGTTCGTGTCCCGGACCCGGTGGCTTGAAACTCACGCCGGGCGCGTGTGCGTGCGTGCCCAAGATCCCGAGAGGAGAATGGAGGAGAAGGGATTGCGGCGTGACCATCCCCCCTGGGGGGTGATTTCTCGCTTTCTGTCTCTATGTCTCTCTCTGTCTGTCTGGCGAGCGCACGCGCCCTACAGTGAAAATCTCTCAAAAAAAAAAAAAAAGATTCATGCAGTAGTTTCCCCTTACTCATGGTTTCACTATTGATGGTTTCAGTTAACTATGGTCAACAGTGGTCCAAATATATTAAGTAGAAAATTCCAGAAATAAACAAGTTGCAATTATAAACACCACGTGTTTTTTTTTTTTTTTTTTAAAGAGAGGTTTTTGCTATAAGCCATGTGTGCTAGCTAGAGAAAGAGAGAGACAAAACCCCCCTAGGGGCGATGGCCACGCTGCAATCCCTTCTCCTCTGTATCCTCTCAGGGTTTTGGGCACACATGCCCAAGCGCCTGGTGTGAGTTTTTAAGCTGCCAGGTCCAGGACTTGAACCATGGTCTGCTACGTGTGAACCTAGTTATGTAACCATTATGCAATCTGCTGGTCTCTACTGCACCCTCTTCTGAGTAACATGATGAACTCTCAGGGCATCTCTTTCCACCCTGCCTGGGTCGTGCGTGGACCTTGAGTCTAGAGTAACAGTGCTACACAGTCTGCCAGCCCCTGAGTCACTTAGTGGCCCCTGAGTCACTTAGTAGCCGTCTCAGTTCTCAGAGGGAGAAAATGCAGTGAGCACAGGGGTTGGAACTGTCCGTGGTTTCAGGCACCCCTTGGGAGGCTGGGCACGTATTCTCTGCAGAAAGGGGGATTACTGTATTTATATAAATAGGTATATAGTCATAAAGCATTATAGGACGTCTGTAAGTCTATATTTCAAATACATGAATTTTTATGAGATTTCGTGGTGAAATACCATAAATTACTTAAATTTCCAACATGAGCACTGGCAAAGTTGATTACCTGTGTGTGCAAGGGCCTCTGTAGCTATGGAAACCAGCACTGTCAAAGGGTGTGTGGCCTGTTGCGGCATGTGGGTAGACAGCCCCTACGCCAGGGGTCTGGTACCCTGTCGCCTGCCCCGTTTGCATCAGCCACCATAGGGAAACACACAGGGGTTGACAGTGGCTAACTGTGTGTGGAGGGGAGCATTTGAAGTGCTTCCAGTTGCCTTTTCTAAAATGTGCGAGCATTATTTGCAGTAGGTGTAAAGAACGTTGAAGAAATAATGAAGCCACTTCTTAAGTAAAATACAAGTAGAGAGTCTGAAACCTCGTGGTGTCCCGTGGACGCCAGCCCCTGAGTGTAACTAAGGTGATGAGGAATCCCAGTCTCACAGCCGCGTTAGAGAACAACCGCCCTGCGGACTGAGGTTCCGGTCTATCCGGCTGCCCAAGGCCCCCAGCTGGCGAGAGGGCTGGCGGGAGTTGGAGCCAGGCCTGTGCCTCCCGACGAGCACCCTTTGGCCCCAGGGACAATGCCCTTTTCATGCCTGTGCCCAACCTCCCGCTCTCTCTCACCCCTGCAGGCTGCAAAACTGTGCACTACGACCTGGTCTTCCTCTTGGACACCTCCTCCAGCGTGGGCAAGGACGACTTCGAGAAGGTCCGGCAGTGGGTGGCCAACCTGGTGGACACCTTCGAGGTGGGCCCGGACCGCACCCGCGTGGGCGTCGTGCACTACAGCGACCGGCCC